TGTCCAGTGCGCGGCTATATGTATGGCCTAATCCATAACAAGATCGAAGGCATCGTTTAAAGCCAAATTTAAGGCACAGTCTAAGGCCACGTTTAGGGCCAGGCAAGACCTAGTATAATTCCAAGTTAAAGGAAAAGTCTAAGGTGAAGTTAACGCCAAGCTTAAGCAAAGTTTAAGGGCATGTCTTAGGCCAAGTTAGGACCAAGTTGAGGATAAGTCTATCGATAAGTATAAGCCCAAGTCTAAAGTCAATCCTTAATACACGCTTAACGCCACGTTTAAAGACAAGCTAAGGCAAGTGTGAGATCACGTACACGGCTATGTTTAAGTGCAGCTCTGAGGCTACGCCAAAGGCCAAGTCTAAGGTCAGTTTTGAGACCAAGTCGATTGCCAAGTTAATGATTAGTTTAAATGCAAGTCTAAGGCAAATTTTATGGAAAACTGTAAGGCCACACTAAGGCCAGGTTTAAGGCACAGCCCTCGGCCATGTCTAACGCTTATTCTATGACCAAGCCCATGTCAAGTAGGGGTCAAGTTTAGCGCCAAGTCTGTGAATAAGACTACCGAAAAGTGAGGACCAAATATAAGGTCAGGACAATTTTTAAGATACGACCAAGTTTAAGGCAAAGTCAAACCCCAAGTTAAGGTTAGGCTTAAAACCAAGTCCAAGGATTAGTTAAGGCCAAGTGTAGGGTCAAATGTAAGGCCCTATCTAAGGCATAGTCTAACGCCAAGATTAAGGCCATGCTTAAGTATAATTTAAGGTTACGTTTAAGGCAAATTTTGAAATCATGTCTACTGCCAAGGGAAGGAAAGCCAAAGTCAAAGTTTAAGGTTTACGCTAAGACCATGTCTAAGGTTAAATTTTAGGCCCAAGTCTAAGGCCAAGGCTGAGGTAAAGTTAAAGCCATGTGAAAATCCAAGTTTAAGGCCAGGTCTAAGGTCACGCTGAAGCCACGTTTAAGGATATTTCAGAGGATAAGTGAAAGGACAAGATAAGGCCAATCAATAGGGCAAATGCAAGAACAAATCATGTCCAAGTTCAAGATAGGGCCAAGTATAAAGACAGACCTAAGAAGACGGCGAGGGCCAAGTCGAAGCCAAGTAAAGGCCACGGTTAATGCAAATTGCGAATCTAAAGCAAAGTATAATACCAAGTGCAAGATCGAGCATAAGATCCAGTCTAAAGCTAGACTGAACCTTAAGAACATGAGGACTATGAGCAAGTTTAAGGCAAAGTCTACCGGCAGGACTTAGGTCAAGCGTAAGGCCGAGTTAGGGTCAAATTAATAACAAGTTTGTTGCCAAGTTTAAGGCTACGTGAAGGCAACGTTACTCTAGAGCAAGTAAATGCCAAGTAGTTGACAAATCTAAGGTAAGCTTACGGCCTAGTCTGAAGCTAGGTTAATGCCTAATTGAAGGCGAAACTTATCGCCAATTTTAAGGCCAGGTCTGAGGCCAAGTTTATGTACACGTTTATTGTCAAATCTAGGGCCAACTCTAAGGCTAATTCTACGGTCATGTCTAAAGCATAGCCTAATACAAAGTTTAAGCCTTAAACTGGTTTTAGACTTTGTTTTGTTTCTATCCTTAAAATTGACTTTGCCTTAGACTTTGCCTTAGACTTTGCCTTAGACTTTGCCTCAGACCTAACTTTAGACATATTCTTAGACTAGACCTTACAGATAGCCTTAAACTTGGCGTTAACTTGTCCTTAACGTATCACCACGCTTGACCTTAAACTTGTCGCTAGTCGTGCCATTAATTGCCCTTTGACATTGTATTAAACTTGATGTTAATTTCAGCTTAGACTTGGCTTAACTTTTTTCCTTAACGTGGTTTTAGACTTCGTCTAAGATTTGGCTTAAAATTGATATTAGTCTTGGTCCTAAACTTGGTTTTCCTTTGACTTTTTCTTGTCCTTAGACGTAAGTTTAGACTTTGCCTCAACTAGGCTTTTGACTTAGCCTTTGACTTGACCTTAAACGTAACCTTAAACATGGCATTGAGCTAACTCCTGGATTAAGCCTTAGACTAAGCCTTAGACGAAACGTCGTGCTTTCTCTTAGACGGGGTCTTAGATTTCGCCAGATACAGGACCTCCTCATGGCATTGAACTTGCCTTCAATTTGCCTCTAACTTGGCCTTAACTTGGAATTATTCCTTGGCGTAAAACTAGGCCTTTAACATGGCCTTAGAATTGGCCTTATACATAACCTTTAGCATGCCTTAACTCGTCCTTAGATTTGGCATAGGAGTTGAAATTATAACTGGCCTTAACCTCGAATTTGAACTCGGCTTTATCTTGGCCTTAGATTTTTCTCAGATTTAGCTTTAAACTTGGCCTTAGACTTGAAATAAAATTCGGCGCTAACTTGCCGATGGACTCGCCCTTAGATTTAGCCTTAGACTAGACCATGGACATGGTCCAAAATTTGGTCTTGAACTTTCCTCAGACTTGGCTATAAGCTTGACCTTCGCTTGGATATGGCCTTAGCCTTAGACTTGGTTTTTACATGGCTTAGATTTGGCCTTAATCTGGTCTTAGTCTTCGCCTTAGACTAGGTGTTAAAATTGGTCTTGGACATCGCCCGAGATAAGGCCTTAGACGTGTTTAAACGTGGCCATAATTTTACCTTAGACTCAGCCTTAAAGTTGGTCCTCAACGTCCCTTTAATTTAACCTTATACGTGGCCTTAGACTTTCCATAAGTATAGACCTGAGGCATGGCCTTGAACTAGACCCTATACTTAGACTAAACGTGGCCTTAGCTTCGCCTTAAATCTAGCACTACACATTAGCCTTAGTTCAACAATAGATTTAGCCTTAAACTTGGCGTTACAGTTTTCGTTAGACCTATCCTTAGACATGGCCTTAAGCTCGGCGCTAGCTTGGCCTTAGGCTTCTCTTTAAATATTGCCCTAACAAGGTCCTCAGACTTGGCCTTAGAACAAGCATTAGACAGACCCTTTGACACGGCTTCAGGCATTCATTTAGAATTGGCTTTAAACCTGGCCTTAATTTGAACTTAGGTATCGACACTAGCTTGTCCTTAGTCTATTATTTGGGCATCGCCCTAGACTTAGTCTTAAACTTGTCCTTAGACTTTGCAATAAACTAGGCCTTGACTTCACCCTAGACTTGGATTTTTACTTGAACTGAAACTTGGTCTCAGTTTCGTAATAGGCTTGACGGATTTAGACCTGGCCTTATACTTACTTGGCCTTAGCATGGCCTTAGACTAGACCTTAGACTTGGCATCACACTTTGTGTGTACTTTGTGCTAAACTTGGCCTTAGCCTTACATTAGATTTGTCGTTTACTTGTCCTTAGACTTCGATCTAACTTGACAATAAAGTTGGCTTCAGTCATAGCCTAAGACGTGGCTTTGAAGTTAACCTTAGACCTGGACTTAGCTGCAGTTAGACTTAACCTGTAACTTAGTCGTCGCTTGGTCTCAGACTTCGCCTTAAACGTGGCCTTAACTTAGCCTTAGACTTAGACCTTGACTTGGCTGCAAGTTTTCCTTTTACGTGGCTTTAGATTTGGCCTGACGTTTGGACTGAGAACAATCCGTAACTTGACGTTAATCTTGGTCTTAGGCATCACCTTACAGGTAGCCTTAGAAAAGGACTTGGCCTTAATCTTGGAATAGCGCGTGATCCTAGACTTGACCTTAAGCTTTGCGTTAAACTTTGCCTTAACTGCATTTTAGACTTGGCCATCGTTTTGGTCTTACACTTGGCCTTAATTTGACATTAGTCTTTATAAAAAATCTTGGTTTTAACTTGGGAATAGCTTTTGGCTTGGCCTTGAGTTTATTTCTGGACTTTCAACGAAAATTCACCTTGAACTGGCCTTTGACTCAGCGTTACGCTTCGCCATAAACTTGGATTTAACTTGGTTTTAGACTTGGACTTAAACTTGGCTTTACGTTTCGCCTTATAGTAGGAGCTAGACTACTCCTTAGACATGTACTCTACCTTCACGATAAACCTGTTCTTAACCTGGAAGAATGCTTGGACTTAGTCTTGATTAAGATGTAGCTTTAAATGTAGCCATAAACGTGGCCTTCTTTTAGCCTCATACAATACCTAGCCATGGCCTTAGACTAGACATTAGGCACGGCCTTTGACTTGGCCTTAAGCTTTGATTTAGACTAAACCTTAGAACGGGCCAAAAATTTGGAATTAGATAATTTTTAGCCTGTCTTTATACTTGGCCTTTTCCTTGGCTACGGATTAAACCTTAAGCATGGCTTTAGGTTTGGCCTTAAACTATTCCTTAGCCTCGGCATTGCTTGCCATTATAGTTTTTCTCGGTATTGCTCTCAGACTTAGCCCTAGGCTTCGTCTTAGACTTTGCCTTAAACGTGGCTTTAGCTGCTTCTCGACTAGGCCTTCAACTTGACCTCAGACATGACCTTAGACTGTGCTGTCATGTGGAATTTGCCTTGTCCTTAACTTTCCTTAAACTTCGATTTCGTTTGGCTTATGCTTTTCGATATATTGAAATCCTTAGACTTGGCTTTATGCTTAGGTTAACCTGGGCTAAATTTGAAATTAGACTTTGACTTGGACTTGACCTTAACTCTGACTTTGTTTTGGCCTTAGAGTATGTCTTAGACCAAACCTTAGCCATAGCCATAGGTTTTCCTTAAACTTGACCATGACGGGTTCACTTTGGCTATAGACCTGGCCTTAGATTTGACGTCAGACATGGCATTAGAGCTGACGTTAGACATGGCCTTTAGCATGGCCTTAGCCTTGTGCTTAAACGCGCTCTCAGCTTCATGTTAGACTTTGCCTTAGATTCCGCCGTAAGCATGGCCTTGCACTTGGTTGTAAGCTATTGCTGTTACCTGAGGATCAGTATTTTTTGTCTTGCTTACTGTTGGCGATTCCCTTCTTTTCATGTGTAGTATCGTGTGGTCAATTCGGAGATACTCTCTCTTCCGTTTTGGTCGTTCCTTTTCAAAACAAGGCTATATAGCAAAGAACATGGATCGCATCATAAATCCTACTGAAGATGCTAAGAAGCTGTCAGCCCTCACCTGCGTGGATAACCACGTGAAGGTAAGCTTAAATTTCAGCTCTTGGGCTTCGTGAGATTGAGTCCTACGCAAATAGCTGTAGCTCTTCAGGTCCCGTTATGTAACTTTCCGCAACAATGTATTACGTTCGAACTAGGTACATGATGATGATGCTAATTTACACACATCACCTTAAACAGTCAACCTATACGGATCGTATAATGTTTGCTATCATAGCTGCCATAAAACCGTACAGTAAACGTACACTGTTTGGTCATTTGTGAGGTCTAGGAGAAGGGTTCACTACTTACAGTGCCCTCGCGGGGTGCTGCGTACAGCAGCGATCGACTTTCTGGCTGTGACCGAGAGCCAGTGTGACGTAAACACAGACAAGCAGCTTGCTCGAGAATTGTTCCCATAATGGGGCAGTTTGTCGCATGCTTACAGACAGCAGTTTGCTGGCTATTGGCTTATAGCGACAACCTGAAGTGCGATGGTGATTATGGCTCCAACAAGCTAGTTTTTCCTGAAACTTGATAAATGAGTCCCACTCTGTGGGAAGAAAACAGAAGATTACACAATGTGCTTTCCACATGGCTGTAGACTCTGCCTTTAAAAAATAAGACAGCTGTAGCTGATAGCATAGAAACGGAGATCAGCATCGTACCATCAGCTTCATTAAAAATGGCCTAATCATTAACTGTGAAGAAAACCGACATTCCAACGATAGTAAGCTTTCCTTTTCACAAAACGTAAAATTTGTCTCAATTCACAATTACTGACTCAGTTAAATAGACTAATGTTGACTTTCTTCATCGATATTATTCACATATCGGTGTAAATCGTGAAATTGAAGGATAGTAAGTAGGCATCGTATCATTTGTGATTTGCAAATACATGAACATCTTTGCATTCTACTATGCATTATAAAGGACTCTATGTGGGTTATTATCGTGATTCTATTGCGAATACAGTTTATACCAATTAAATTGCATAATATTGGCAATATTTTTTTTCGAAGGCCTGGACTGCCGCGCTTCGGATATATGAATATTGAGTATGATTCAGGTATTCATCGGCCCCTTAATACGGAAGGGGATTTAGATTTTGGGGTCGCGGTGGCACAGTGGCGAAGAGGTTGACTTTGAACTGCAGATGCCCGCTTTGAATCCGGTGCAGGAAAATTTTTTGTCTTCAACTTTAATTCCCTTAAGCAAGGAATTGACCCCGCGAACCAGTCGAAAAGCGGATAGTCAGTCAGTGACTTGCAGAAACTAGAAATAGCATCGTATTCTGGTCGGACCATGCGAGAATAGACGAGAGACGAGTTGTACGGCCATGTTGTACGATGCGAGTGCCCCTAGTAGCTGTACTTTTCCTTTTTCATCTGATAGATGATTATACTGCCTAATATTGTTGACGTTCAAGGGAGTCAACGTAAATGTGGCAACTCGTGCTGGCACACTAAACAGTGACCAGGACTGTTTAGAATCTTTGCCAAATGGAGGACTGTTGGAACGACTTAACCTGACTTTGAAGTCGTATTTCATTCGCAACGTTACGGCGCCCTTTTCATGCCATATCGCCGTACAGTGTCAGCTTCTGTTCCGTCTTAGAGGTGTAGCCTGTGGTTCACATATGCTATCAGAAATGATCAACAGAAGCGACTATTTTTTGTTCAACGACCGGCTTATGTTCCCCGCGACAGGCGCAGAATGGCGGCAAAATTTGTTGACCGAAGGCTTGGAACCTATTTTGCCAAGATGCCGGAAGACCGTGAAGGCTTTCGAAATTGTGCGACACTGCCCTTGCGATTCCAACGGTACACAGCTCTTTGAGAACAAGAATATTGCGAGAGAATGATTTTGTGAAACCATGCGACAAACGGAATGCACTGTTCTTCGGAGAAAGTCGAAAATTGTTTCAGAAAGAATTATTAGTTTATGCCTCTTTGTTAATAGGATATTAATGCAGTCCTGGCACGCCTTTGTAAAGATTTTAAATGATCAGCGTAGGGAACGTCATGATGAAACCTCGGGCATACCGTTACTATGCATTCTTCTTGTGAACGGATCATCATGTTTGTCAATTTCATTTAGTCTAATGTAAGATATCTGAATTGAGATTTCTGCTTTTCATGATGCATGAGAATATAATTTGCAAGAAATTTAAGTTATTAATATTAAGTTATTAATTATTAAGTTTAATTAAGTTAAGTGTACATCTGCACTAAGCTTGAGCAGAAGGTTTCGGCAATTTGAAGAAAAGTAAATGAGACATTATGCTATCAGCAACTTCAAGGGCTAATTTTTGACCATGGCATCGTTTTCACAGAGCGATCAGGCGGTTGGAATTGGCAGTGGGTCGACGATTGTTTACGCAGTGCAGCATCTGGCAGCGAAAATTCGAGAGGGGAAGCTTAAAAACGTGGCTTTCGTACCTTCGTCCTTTCAGGCGCGTCAGTTGATCATCGAAAACGGTTTGACGCTGAGCAGCTTGGAATCCTTTCCCATCCTTGACGTTGCTATCGACGGAG